CCCCCCCGCGAGTATCGCGGGTCCCCCCTTGTTTTATTGATTTTACTGATTACATTCTATATGATCACAGGTATTTAAAATGGGTAGGAAAAGGGGTTGTCCTTTTGATTCTGTTCATTCTTCTACTCCAAAACAAAGTAAGTTAGTTAGTTACTTTACTTTTGGAGTCGTCCCCCCCGCGAGTATCGCGGGTCCCCCCTTGTTTTATTGATTTTACTGATTACATTCTATATGATCACAGGTATTTAAAATGGGTAGGAAAAGGGGTTGTCCTTTTGATTCTGTTCATTCTTCTACTCCAAAACAAAGTAAGTTAGTTAGTTACTTTACTTTTGGAGTCGAAACCTCTAATAGATTTCATACTTTACAGGATCAATGGCCAGAAAATGGTGTTATTGAGGGACAAGGTGGACGGACCCTGTATGCAGAAGAAGCCTATTTCAGACTCTGTTTCTAGTGTGGACCTGGTTTTATCAAAGAAATTCTGTTATTTGGAACCGGGGGGAGGGAGGGGATCAGTCAGAAATTTTATTCATTTCTGGCTTCACAGACATTCTTAATAGCTGAAACACTTCAGAAAATGCATGATAAGGTTAATTCTCTGGGTGACCAAATAGCCTCCTTTCTTTCTCCTCAAGGGGCAGGGAGAATCAATGGCTAGAACATCTTGAGAGATGGCTGTTCGGGCTCTGCCTGAAGACTTCCAGGAAAGGAGAGCTTAAGCCCATCTCCCCAGGTAACTGGTTCCATTGTTAAACCACCTGCACTGTTCCAAGAACTTTTCCTAATGTTCAGCCAGTCTACCCTCCTGTAACACCCGTTACATCTAGTTTTGCTCTCCAGATTGTCAGAGAGCAAATCTTTGCCCACTTCCCTGGGACAGCCCTTCAGTTGTTTGATGACTATAATCATGTCTTCCCTTAGACTTCTGCCTAAACATACTTAACCACATCAACACTCCCTCAGAGGGGTTGTTTTCCAGGCTTTTGCTGGTTTCCTCTAAACCCTTTCCAATTTGTCTACATCGGTCTTAAGATGCAGCACCCAGAATAGGATGCACTCATCCAGATGAGGTTTGACCATGTCTGGTTATCTAGTCTTTTATTTATAAAAATGCTTTTCTAGCTGCATATACTAAGCAGTGGGCAATCCATCTGAATAATGTATGTAAAATGAGCATAAAATACCACATTCTCCCAGGAAAGCAGCTAAGCTAGCATCACGAAATAGCTCTGTTTTGACAAGGTAGCAAGCGGAACCTGAAAGAAGCGGTTAATGTGGGTTTCTCTAGGCAGTGATTTTATTTTATTTTATTTTATTCTGGATCAGTGAAGGAGCTGCAGTGGCTCAAGTGGTTAAGACACTGAACTGCAGGCTGTGGAAGGTCAGTAGTTCGAGACCTGAGTGTGCCACATGACGGAGCGAGCTCCCATCTCTAGTTCCAGCTCCTGCCAACCTAGCAGTTCGAAAGCAAGAAATTGCAAGTAGATAAATAGGTACCACTTCAGTGGGAAGGTAACAGCGTTCCGTGCACCTTGGTGTTTAGTCACGCCGGCCACATGACCACGGAAACGTCTTCTGACAGTGCTGGCTCTTCGACTTGGAAATGGAGATGGAGCACCACAACCCTAGAGTCAGATTCGACTGGCTTTTGAGCAAGGGAACCGTTACCTTTTTACTGGATCGATACTATTGCCATAGAAGATGTGCTTTGAGTTCTCATCAACCTAACCATTCAAAGGGAGGTGAATTGTACCTCTTTAGCCAGCTTGGACTCCCTGGAAAGATTTGTTCATTTAAGCAAGTGGCAGACACCTGCACCACTACGGAAACATTCTGTCTGGCTACCTATACTCTTTTCCATGATCAAGGCCGAGAGGACTTTCTGATCTTGTACAACGAAGTCTTGGAACTGACCCTGCCATGGAGATGGATGTAGCTAAGCCATGTTCAGACCATGCACAGCATAAGGAGGTGGCAGCATAGTTCTAAGGTGGTAGAATGGACTGTATCCTTTCAGACTGTGGGGGATCACAATGTTTAATTTTCCTCTTGGGAAAATCCTGCAAGCAGAAAAACCTTCCTTCCTGATGTGTGAACAGCATTTAAATGTAACGTTTCCCACTTTCAGTCTCCAGAGACACAACCTGACACCTCAGGATTCTGTTGTATGTGCAGACCAGACCTAAGTCCCAAATGAACTTGGATGCTACTGGACTGTTTTTCTCTCCTCCCTGGCCATCCCACATTTCTCTTCCCTTCCCTATACCCTGCTCTCACATCTTTCAGCCTTTGTCCTTTCAGAAGTACACTTCTCCCTGCTTTCCTGCCTGAGGTTTTTGATCAGCCGAATGGACTTCTCACATTCTGTACCGGAGGATGCTCTGCTTATTGGTATTCCATGCTGTCATATTTCTACTGAGCAATTCAGTGTCTGTGACCACTTCATGATGCTGCTACAGCAGTTTAGCCAAAGGGAGGCAGACTTGCTAGTGACAGACAGCAGTCACTTTTCTGCTTTTAAATAAATTGTGTGTGTGTGTTCTTGAGAACAGGCCCAGGCCATTTGTCAATGAGGTCCCCTGCCCCCCAGTCTTTTTAGAAGGATTTTCTAACCCATCTTTCTTCTGTCAGCTTAGCCTATCCATGCTGTCCATGCTGGAATAATGCCTTGTCGACTTACTCCTACAGCCTCAATGGTTGGGGGGGGGGGGCGTACATGCATTCAGAAAAAATTGAATGAGGTGACAAAGACCCGAGGTGGTAGAATGTACTTCACCATTTTAGACTGCCAGTGGAAGTCATCATGGATAACATTTTAGAATGTGCCTGTATTTTTTTTTTTTAAAGTCTCTGGAAGTAGAAAAACAGTTCAGTGAATTAAGGGGGTTAAAAAAGAACATCCTTGTGCTAGTTTTTGATTTACGTGCATTGTTTTTAAGCAGAAGACTATTCTGATCTAGGCTTGCCAAGTCCCCCCGGGGGGGGGGGAAACCCCCGCCCCAGAGGCCCGTTCCCCACTGCTGGCGGATCGGCCCCGGGGGAAACCCCACCCCGACGTGCACGTCTCCTGGAAGTGACGCGGCCACGCTGGGCACACTGGGGGCGGGGCCACGGTCATCCGAGGGAAAACTCTATGGCCGGGAGTCTCCCGCTGCGGCGAAATTCTGACTTGGCAACCCTATTCTGATCTGGAATGCCATTTGAAGCATTTTCTCCACAAAAAGTGTGTAAGACTAGGATCTGGAAGAATCCGGTTAAAATCCCTGCTCTGCCATGGAAGCTTGCTGATAACCTTAGGCCAGTCACATACTCTTGGCCTAACCCAACTCACAGCGTTGTTGTGAATATAAAATAGAGAAGAATAATATAAGCTGCTTCAAGTGCCTATTGGGCAGGAAAGCAGGATAGAAATGAAATAAATACATAATTTTGTAGCCATGGCATTCTTCCACCTCATTCCTGGTCTAACCTTTGCTGCACTGGAATGGTAGAACAGAGTGCAGCACTTCAGAAACAGAGTGAAGGATAGTATGTTGATTTGTCCCTGTAAGTGGAATACTAGCAACCCACGGATAGGGCTATGGTTGCCAGCCCCCAGGTGGGCCCAACAGGTCTCCCGGCATTACCACTGATCTGCAGGATACAGAGATAAGCCCCCCTGGACAAAATGGCTGTGTTGCAGGGTGAGCTATATGGTGTTCTAACCGTCTGAGGTCCCTTCCGAAATCTCCAGGAATTTCCCAACCCAGAGCTAGGAACTCTAGCCACAGCTTTTTCCGCAGTATGTGATTTTTTCTGTTATTTGTAGAGGGCTTATTTACACGGGGATCATTAAAAAGGTGGCATGTGCAAACACCCGACAGCTCATTTTGGCATCTCTGAATTCTACCAACTTGTATGCATGTACTGGGCCTGAGTGGAGTTCTAAGGGAGGCCAAGACAGGATTAACCATTTGGCATCTCTGAGGTTCATATTGCTATTGGTTAATACATAC